GTGTAATCATCTTTAGAGAGAAGGGGAGATGTGCTATACTGATATCCCATTACTGGAAGGAACGGATACCTGCAATTTCAAAAGGCTCAAACCAATTGAGAATATTATTAAAGAAGCCAATACAAAGTCAAGGGCATATTACCTCTGCTGAAGTAATTTAACTTTGTCAAGCATGGTAAAAAGGTCATGCTGTGACAAAGAGGAACCTTGAAAGAATTCAGCTACAAGAACTAAAGTAATGCCTTCTTTCTTAAAGAAATTCTTTTTCAACGCAATTCCATTTAACCAACAATGAGAAGGGCCTGTACATTTGAGTAGAAGTGTAAAAAAGAAAGTTGGAGGTGGAAGATGGGGTGATCTGGCTTGTACACTATTGATTGTCAAATTCAGAATAGATAACTTGTTCAAGATTCAGTAACCATGAAAGCAATGGGTATCAACTATTTCAAAAAGTGGCAATGTCATCAGGGTATACTTAAAGATTCTCAGATACATCATGCACAATTATCACATGAGGGGTCTTGATCATAACAATGGCTCTCATAACTCAGTCCACAATGATGCAGCCTGGTTAATGGCAATATGAATACATAGCACAACTTGTGGAAGGGCGTATACAATTGCTGAAAAGAGATATCTAATGATGCAACTTTATAAAATGTACGCTTAATACATTATTGCTGGGAATTGTGTTCAGAGAATTTATTTCACCTTCATGCTTGTTAATAGTAGATTGGATGAAGGACAACAAATCATGCTGTGGAAGAGTCTCTTGTTTTGATTTTGATATAGTTGAATACCTGAAAGAGAGACAAGTTGGAAATGCAACAGCATCAAAAACAAAAGATGACTAAAATGCAATGCATTCTAAACATATAGGAATTACGTCTATATACTTTGAAAACTGCAAGCAATTATTGTGTCAGAGATGTGTAAAGATAAACCAAACAGAAGAATTGGATCATAGAATTGAATATCTTAGACGAATAAAGGAATCTCTTCTGCAACTTTTGGAGAGAAAAGGTACTAGTTAGTACACATATATAGCCATGAGAGATTGAGAGGGATGGGTCCCTGTAAGCCAAAAATTTCTCATTTCTTCTCCAATTCAAACTGAAAAACTATTGATTCCTGGACATTACTGTTTTTCTCCATTAATTGAACACAACTCATATAGAATTAAAATTAATGGCCATGGCATCATAAAACAATAAGGAGAAAATAAAATTCTAGAAGCAGTAAAAATGATAAACTTTACCTACGATAACCACAGCTTTTGTAAACATGTTTTTCAATGCTTCCAATGGATTTCTGAAGTGATGAGCTCAAACACAATGGAACTAAACTTCCAGCTCCTCCAAGAAGCCGATAACTTTTCCCTGTTATGAATGAACAGTTCCATTGGAAAAATAACAAAAAATGTTGATTTATTAAAGATTGGAAATAATGTTCATCAAAATTTAGCATCGGTGTTTACCTGCATGATTTAGAGGTAAGAGTCTATGAATTTCTTTCAAGCAACGAAGTCTTAGAGCCATTGGTATTCCCATTTTATTAATATGGGTTTAACACCAAAATAGCCCTTTTTAAAAAAGAAAAAGGGCCCCTATTAAGCACTGGAACTTGCTGTATTAAGAGAAAAGAAATATTAATATGCTGCCTCAGAAAGAAAATACACCTATCAGCATCTTTGGGTTACACAAGAATGTCAATTGAAGAAACAAGTTGGCATAACAAAAAATCCAGCAGTTGCACCATGTTTCACTGTTTCAGATATGAGTTCCAAAATTGAGCAACCATAAAGGACTATGCATGATAAAACAGTTTCAAAGCGCAAATCATACACATCTTTTGCCAGAAAAGGACCATAAAAATCCAAAAAATTATCCAAATGAAATTAAAACAGGCCAAATTTATAATTTATAAAACAGATCTGAGCACGTTGAATAAAATCTACACTTCAAATAAAGTGTCCTCAAAAAGCATTTCTTATATTTAAAATATAAAAAGTACAAAAATGCATGTTTAATTATACTGACAATTAGAGCAAAACTGTTTGAAAAACATGTTTGGTTGACGAAGGCCTCGGCCACAAATTATTGGCTTCTATTTTGCTTGCTTTTCTGTGTTTTTGTCCTGATAATTAAGTTTTCTTTTTTGTACTTTAAATACACAAAACCCTCCCTGAAATCCATTTTTCTGTTAAATTAATTTCTAACCAGACAAACACCATAAACATCTACACACCCATCACCAAAAGGCCACAAATAACTATTCATAGGAGAAACTAGACTATAGAACAAGACCTTGCATTGACAAATGCATAATTATAAGTTATTAAGTACAAAAAGAAAGTGTGGCATAATACACACATAAATAAAAGTCAACCATGCACAGCATTAGACCTAACAACTGCTATGGTTCAAATTTGCAGTTGCAACTACTTCTAATAAGATTTATCAACAAGTTTTTGACACATTTTCTCACAGGCATTTCATCAAACACTTGGATGACTATTCGAAATCTCTATGAAGAGGTCCAGAAACTAGAGTGTTCTAGCAACCCGTAGATTTCATGGGCCCTGAGGGACAAATCAATATCTATGCATATTAGCAGCACTGCGTAAACAATTCTGGTTCTGACCAAGAATATAGTTAGAAAGTAACTTGCACGTTTTTGTGAGGCAATTGCTCCGGCTGTTGCAGAAAGAATGAGGTGCGCACAGAGAAGCCGGCGTTGCGCAGTGAAGTCACGTACAGAGAATCTGACAGTGCAGAGAAAATGAAAGAGGTTTATTTGCACTTCAAGTACTGAGGTCTGAAGATGAAAGTGGAGAATTTTGTAGCAAATACTTTTATTTATCATTATAATTTAATGACTCAGTTTTCTCAATTAATAACTTTTCAAAAATTATGGATCGTTTACTCCATTTCTCTTATTTCCATTTTTAATTTTCCATTTCTCTATTTTTCCAGTTTTCTTTTTTCATTTCTCCATTCTTTCAATTTTTCATTTCTCTAATTTCTATTTTGTTAAATACAATCATCCTATATAGCATTTGTACATTTCTCCAACAAAGATGATAATGATAATAATAATAACAACAACAGCAACAATAACAATAACAACAACAACAACAATAATAATAATAATTTATGATGTGCAACATGCATAGCTTGCAAGCTCAACCAGATTTCATCTTGCCTTGCTGCGAGTCCGCATCCCAACTGAAGGATCACCAATGATGTTGGTAGAAAGATGATTCTTCTCGATTTGAGTGGGTTTATCCCTTTCACTTCTGTCTGATTGAACGGTGGTTTCATCACAAGCATTAGGGGACTCATCTCTGGATCCATCAAACTCTGTGTCAGCTCGACATTCGTCTGGCTTTTCTAGTAGCTCAGACACTGTCTCAGAGGTTGTATCGGATGTGGGTGCATTTTCTATTGCATTAGGAAGATCATCTATCACCACATTTATTGATTCCATAACTGCCTTTGTTCTCTTGTTGTACACTCTATAAGCTTGCTTTCTTTTTACTTTTATTTCCAAAAGTGAGAAAAGTGAAGGGCGTAATTGAAAAACACATATCATTTACTCGTATTTTAATTCCTTAAAAAGCGTGCAAAAAGCAAATGTAACAACCAATTTGAGACAGAGAGAGTATAACATTTTGTGAACCAAATGTCCCCTAAATATAAAAAGAGTTAATACCACAAATGGTCCTCTGACTATTGGGGTAGTACTCCTTTTAGTACTCAACTTTCAATTTGACTAAAACACATATCTCGATTTTCATTTTTGACCACAAATAGTCCTCCGTTAGTCTTTCCGTTAAGTGAGTGTTAAATTTAAGGGTATTATCGTCAAATCAAAGAAAAAATCAGAGTTAATACCACAAATGGTCCTCTGACTATTGGGGTAGTACTCCTTTTAGTCCTCAACTTTCAATTCGACCAAAACACATACCTCGACTTTATTTTTTACCACAAATAGTCCTCCGTTAGTCTTTCTGTTAAGTGAGTGTTAAATTTATAGGTATTATCGTCAAATCAAAGAAAAAAAATAAAATAGTTAACAACAAGTCCATTTAAAACAGCAAAGGCGTAAAGTATCACTACAATCGTGGATGCAAGGCAAAACAGATGGAGCCGAGATGCCATGAATTGCGCAGTCAAGCATATCATGAAACCAAAGGTTATGCTGGTTGTTCTTGGAAGCCATAAACTCTGCTACGTTTCTCTGAAGTTTTTGGATTTTTGTTGATAGCTGCTTTGATAGATCTGCGAGTTTCTAGATAGATAAGGGCGACTGACATGCTTCTAGATTATAAGTGGAGTCTATCAATAGATGCATGTATGTGGAGCAAATGAAGTATGGTATTCAATAGAGATATACCTAAGATGAGAAAATGTTTTGCGTTGATTGTCAATCTCAGAGATTATAGAGATACAATATATACCAAAGACTAGCCTAACTATCCCTATACATTAGCTAGTAGTTGTAGACTAAATCAAAAGCTATCTACACACTAATATAATGTTACAATTAAATGAACAAGGGATAATATGACTAACACACCCCCCTCAAGCACAAGGTGGTGACGAAATAACATTGAGCTTGTCCCGTAAAGTGGTGAACCGCGCGAAAGGAAGAGGCTTCGTGAAGATGTCAGCCACCTGGTCCTTTGTAGAGACAAAGTTAACCAGGAAGTCTCCTAAGACAACCTTATCCCGGACGAAGTGATAGTCGATTTCCACGTGCTTAGTCCTGACATGGAAAATTGGATTAGCACACATGTAGGTGGCGCCAAGATTATCACACCATAACGTGGCTAAGGCTCTAGAGTGCAGGCCAAGTTCTCGGAGTAGCGACACAACCCACGTAACCTCTGCCGCAACATCAGCCAGACCCTTGTACTCGGCCTTAGTAGACGAGCGTGCCACGGTACGCTGCTTGCGGGAGACCCAGGATATGAGATTTGAGCCGAGAAATACCGCTTATCCACTAGTCGATTTCTTGTCGACGGTTGCCCAGTCAGAGTCTGAATAGGCGTGAATGTCCAAAGACGGTGATGAAGACATGCGTAGACCATGAGACAACGTACCCTTTACATATCGTAAGACTCTTTTTAAGAAACCCCAGTGCTCATCGGTTGGAGCATGCATAAACTGACAAAGCCGATTAACTGCATATGAAATATCAGGCCGCGTTATGGTGAGATACTGGAAGGCCCCGGCGAGCCGACGATACTGAGTGGGATTCTTGAAGAGCTCAGTCGGCAGAGACGTGGCCTGAGTGAGTGTTGCAGGAGTAGATAGCGGCTTACAATCAGTCATACCGGCCTGGTTTAAGATATCGTCCATATAGCGGCGTTGAGAGAGGAGGAGACCACCCTCTACTGGGATTGTTTCAATGCCAAGGAAAAAAATCGGGGTTCCCAGATCACGGATCTTGAAGGTGGTTGAGAGATGGCGTAGTAAACTAGCGAGAAGTTCGCGGTCGTTCCCCATCATGATTATATCATCGACATATACCAATAAAAAAACCCTGGAGTTATTAGTCTTATAATGAAAGTGTGAAAAGTCAGTTTTTTATGCCGCGAACCCCATAGTCAGCAAGAAGTCATGGAGCCGTTTAAACCAGGCCCGGGGGGCTGTTTGAGACCATAGAGAGATCGCTGGAGGCGATACACATAATCAGGGTAAACAGGGTCTTCATAGCCCGGAAGCTGTCGCATGAAGACAGTTTCAGACAAGTGCCCATTCAGGAAGGCATTATGGACATCTAGTTGGCGAAGAGTCCATCCCTACGAGACTGCAAGAGAAAGCAACATGCGTACTGTAGTCGGTTTGACTACAGGACTAAAAGTATCAAAGAAGTCCTCGCCGACTACCTGATTGAACCATTTGGCAACCAAACGTGTTTTATACCGTTCAACAGACCCATCAGCCTTACGCTTGGTGCGATACACCTATTTGCAGCCAATGATATTCATACCAGGTTTGGCTGGGGTGAGGCACCATGTGTTATTGTGTAAAAGGGCGTTGAATTCTTGATCCATGGTGTCACGCCATTGGGGATGTCCAACCGTCTAGGTGTAGCAAGTGGGATCCACAGAGGTTGTTAGAGCATAAAACTACTCGCCTGTCCCTTGTGTCATGTGGCGTAGGCGCAAGACGTGGCCCCGGTCCTGTGGCTGAGCCCGGGAGCTACGTCGTGTTCCCGGGGCAGTTTTAGGTTTTTCTGGATAGCCAACGGTTACTCCTGGACCGCTAAAGGAACCTCATTGAATGGCAGAGTAGGTGGTTCATACGGGATTATAGGTCCAGCAGCCCATGGGACTTGTGGTTGCACAACATGAGTGGCCACTTGGTCTTGTGGGCCTGTAGCAAACCGGACATGCCTACAGATAAAGGTCTTTCCAGTGATTGGGTCCATGCATCGGTAACCCCTATAGGACGTAGGATAGCCTAGGAAGACACAGGGTGCAAAGCGGTATTCTATCTTATGGCCATTGTAGGGCCGTAGATAGGGATAACACCTGCACCCAAACACACGGGAGAAATTGTATGGTGGAGATTTTTGGTAGACAGACTCATAGGGACTGATAAAATTCAATGTTGAAGAGGGTAGACAATTAATGAGAAACGTGGCAGTCTCAAACGCATAATCTCAATATTTCAAGGGAACTGAACTTTCAGCTAATAGAGCCAAACCGGTTTCGACGATGTGTCTGTTCCGGCGCTCAACACGACCGTTTTGCTCATGTTTATAGGCACAAGATTGCCTATGCACAATACCAAGTGATTGGAAAATGGTATGCAAACAATGGTATTCACCCCCTAGATCGGACTGTATAGACATGATAGGACGCGAAAATTGGCGTTCTACCATCACACGAAAAGACTTAAAAGTTTTATAAATGTCTGATTTTAACCGTAAGGGATAAAACCAGCAAAAACGTGAATGGTCGTCCACAAACAAGACAAAATAACGAAAACCTCCGGCAGAAATAACGGGTGCCGGGCCCCAAATGTCCGTGTACAATAAATCTAGTACATTATTACTAGAAGAAATAACCTTATCTAATGGTAAACAGGACAACTTCCCAAGCTGGCACGACGAACACAACTGAGACTGTGACACCCCAAAAATCCAAATTCAATTCATGGATTAATTGAGTAATTAATCCTATTTCAATTGAGGAATTATTTCCTAAAATCCTGAAATTTAATACTTGAGGACTAGTATTTGGCTAGTCAACTCCAAAGTCAAGTTGTACCTTGAGCTTTGAAGAGAGTTCCCTTGTTCCTTAGACTTTCTAATGTTAGTAAGGGCATTCTTGACCTTTCACCTAGTGTTAGTATTGTAACCTAACCTAGTAGACATCTTCATTCTACCCCTTACACTTTCTAAAATTTAGCTCTACCTTCTCTCTAGAAAGGTGAGTAGCTTTTCCTCCAAGCTAAGTTGAGACCTTGCCAAGACTTCAAGAGTTGCTTCCAAGATTCAACCTTTCACCTATTTGGGCATCTAGGAGGGTAAGATCTAAGCCTATCTTGTGTTTTTGGTTCCATCTTAGATGTCTTTTCTTAAAGGTGGGATCTTTATGACCTTTTGGTTTGTTCTTGAAGTGGGTTTGGAAAGTGAGCCTTGTGAGGAGCTTGCTGAGGTGTAAAGTGAAGTCTTTTAGTCTACAAGAGGTAACCCATGCTCTACAAAATCTATTTTGCTTACCTATATGTGATTTCTTGGATTCTACTTGTGTTTTGCTATGAAATGTGAGTGTTTATGCATTTGTCTTGTGAAAATGCATATCTAGAGCTTGTGTTTAGGGTTCTTGTGTGCCATTGCTTGGCATTTCCTATGATTCAAGTCATTTTGTTGCATTGGGTGAGATTTGGCATGTTTTGGACTTGAATTTGAGCTTGGAGTTAAAAATCCCCGAAGGGATTATTTTGGACACAGGGATGTACCCGCGGGCGGAACGACGGGCAGAGCCCTACCCGCCGCCCACCCGCAGGTACATTGGCCTCGTGGGTAGTGTACCCGCGGGCGGAACCACGGGTAGGGGCCTACCCATGGGTCTACCCGCGGGGAACACTTCGGTGTTGTGATGGGATTTGTTCCCCGTGATTCTTTTGACTCGGTATTTGGTCTTTTGACTTCCCGATGTTCTTTTATGGAACTATTTGAGTGTCTTCTTGATGTTTCGTATGTCTAGAACTATGTGGTAGGTATCCATGTAGGTTTTGGTGTCTTGAATCGTGCTAAGCGTTCAACATTGTGTTTCGTTGAACCGTGGTGAGTCTTGTGTGTTCTTCGGAACTACGTTTGGTTTACCCATTTGATAAGCATGCTAGTTTGGTGTCTAAATGCTAGCGTGTGTGTTGTTTGTACCTTCCGACTGGTTGATGATAACTTGTGTTATTCATCGTTGTTGTTGTGGGCTGTGACCCGTTCCTTGATTGAGTATGTTTCATATCTTCGTTGTGATCCGTTTATTGATTCTTGTTGAAGTGTGATGCATGTGTGGCTTTACCTGGATTGCACGATTAGTTGTATGGGACACTAGTCACCAAGGTATTGCAGCGGTCCTCGTGGTGGGCGTGACGTGATTATGGAGTTGTGACCTGTGTGTCAGGTTCACGTATTTTTCTTGGGAAGGCGTGTGTCGCCGTGTGTGTGTACGGTACCTTGTGTACTATGAAATTGGTGGTCTCGTTGGTGGTCGTTGGTGGGGGACGACGGTCTTGGAGGGAAAAGGTTGGACTAAGAAGTACAGGGGTCCTGAGGGTAATGGTTGGAAAGAAGAAACAAGGTTGGGGTAGCCATAAGGTTGGAACCGGGCATAAGGCAGGCATATCAACTCGTGATGGGTGATGTCACGAGGGCTATTGTAGCCGGTGTTGTGAGTTCTTCTCTTGTGACGTGTGTAGTCACAAAGGCATGTATTGCCTTGGCATGTGTTACTGGTTGTGTAAGTCTTATTCTTTTGCGTTGTACTTGTCGGGTTTTGATCTATTGAGTGATGATAGATCATGTCTTGACTCTTTTGTGAGTCGTGTTGTTCTTGTGGTCTTGGGATGTGTTCCCGTGTTGTTTGTTGAGAGTGTTGAGTCTTATGTTGGCTTTGACTCTTGGTTTTACACTTACATATATGTATTCCGTTTCGAAAATGGTTTTACAATTTATACCTTACCTATGTATGTTATTTCACATGTATTGGTGGGTTACCAGCATTATTCGCTGACCGGGCGTCGTCCCATGTTTATTTGTGTTCTTTCAGGTGATGTCTAGACGAGCGCGATGTCTAGTGCCCGATAGTGTAGCTCCTTTCGTTTGTCTTACGGCCTGTGAGCCGGTTTAGTTTTAGACTTGCGAGTTTTGGGATAGTTGTATACCATGCAGATTTGGCCGTAGCGTTTATCGTTGTTGGTAAACGTGGCATAACACCCCATGTCTTGGATTTATGTCTAACCAGTTACCTTTTTATCTTCCGCTGTGCTAGTGTTTGTTGTGATATCTGCATGTGTTAAGGCTTTTTGTATAGCATGTTTTGGGGGGTGTTACAAAGACGAACTTGATTTTTGTGGAGTCACCGGACAATTCTGTAAAACACGGTTCTGTACTCGCGCATGAGGGTGGCCAAGCCTACGATGCCAAATATCCGACGACGCACGAGCACTTATGTACGCAACATGTGACCGAGACAATGACAGCTTGTACAATCCCCCCGTGCTAGGACCCTTAAGGAGCACTGCTTTGGTTTGACAATCCTTCACAACAAAATAATCACGGTGAAATTCAAAGAATACGTTGTTATCGGCAGTAAAACGATTAACAGATAATAGGGGAATTGAAAGATCAGGTACGTGCAAAATATTAGATAAACGGAGCGGTCTAGACATAGAATACAACGACGCATGACCAATACTGGAAATTCCCAAACCTAACCAGTTGCCCACGCGCAACACATCACCGCCGGTGTAGGATTCAGAATGAGCCATCATCGCCGGATCCGGCGTGGCATGGGATGACGCCCCGGTGTTCGGGAACCACGCATCCGCCGTGGTTGCCACCTCCTCGCCGGGAACTACCGCATGGGCCTGCGGCGGCGGATGGCCGGAATAGCGCTTGTGGTAGTCGGCTGCCGTATGGCCGTGCGATCTGCAAATCTGGTAGCGGGGAACACCACCGCCGCGTCCTCTGCCCTAGCCGCCGCGTCCACGTCCACTAGCACGTCCTCTGCCCTGACCGAAGCCACCGCCACCTCCGGACTCGTGGTTCTGTCTGCAACCTCGGCCGGCTGTCATCGTCGTATGGGAGCCACCAACAGGAGCGAACTCGTCTGCCCATATGAACTCCTGTGCTTGGAGGAAATCCGAGAACTGAGGGATGGACACCAGTGTTCCAACTGTCGCAAGGGAGGATGCCATGGCGCGAAACTCTTGGCGGAGGCTGCGGAACACGTACAAATTTTGTTCATCTAACGAGAATGGGCGGCTGG